GAGGCCTACGGCTTCCCGTGGCCTGGGCTGCTGCACTGCCACAAGTTCCCCCTGGACAACGACCTCTGCATCGCTGTGCAGTTCGGGCACCTGCCCGCCACCGCGCCTCCAGGTAGCGCCGCCCTCGCCGCCCCCGCGCGCTCTGATGGCCCTGGGTGCCCCCAGAGGTGGGCCCCGGACAGATGCCGCTCCCCCATCCCCTTAGCACAGCTCTGCGAGCCTCCCACAGGTGTCAACCCCTCTATACACACACACACACACACACACACACACAACCTATTCGCTTAGCCTTGAGCACCCCGGGGATTGTCTCCCACGGCCGGGATTCCCACCTTCCCACCAACGCGTGGACTGCCAAAGCAGAGCCTCCCTGCGGCTCTGGACCTTCCCACTGGTTCTCCCCACTTCAGCTGCCTGAAAACCCTCCAGGCTTCTCTCCTGGCACCCACCTTCCCCAAAGATGGAACCCCTGGGGTGACCCCAATACAGTCCCCTCATCCTAGGGCATCCTGATAACTGCCTTATTGCCTCTCTCAGGCAAGAATGTTGGGGGATAAACCATGCCTTTTACCTCCTCCACAAACCTGGACTCCAAGGCATCCAGACAAGGATTCCCACCCAGTTTGGGGAACTTGGGAGGGAGGAGGGCTAAGGGGAGGGATGTAGTGAAAGACTGGGGACTAGTGCACACCGGGGCTGATTCCATCTCCCCATTTCTCTCCCTAACTTTCCCCACTCTCTTCCTCAGCCCCCGGGCTGCGAGACCTCGGGCAAGGCTCAGTGCAGAAGAAAGAGCAGATAGGCTCTGCCCCTTCAGCATCAGTTTCCCCATCTGTAAAACAGAAAGAGACCCAGGGTCCTGAAACCTCTGACATCCTAGGTGTGACCTCCCACATCCCATTACCCCTAATACCTCCCTGGCCTCCACCTCCCCTTCACTGTGCACCCCCTTCACGCTCTCCCGTCTGCCCAACTCCTTCCAAACAGAGTAACCCCGAGCCGGCACCAGACAAGAGGATAAACCCGGGCAGTGAGCAGGAAAGCTTTGCCTCGGCTGTTAACCCGAGAGCCTGAGGAGCCCCCGACACTGGGACTTCCCCAAGGGCAGCACAGCTCTCCTTTCTTCCTATCAACCTGGCCCCAAAAAACAACTGTACCTCAGCGTGCCCTACCCACCCCAGGGCTAACCTCACCAGCCAAGCCCCGCGCCCTACACATCAGGCCCTCTCCTGGGAGTCACGGCTGGGTGGGGGCCCAGTGACTGAACCCCCTCCTCGGGTTGAGAATGGGACCGGGAGGCAGGGGAGAAGAAGGCAGCTCCAGGAGAGACGGCTTAGTCCCCAGCAGGGAGCCCAACCATTTACAGTCTGGAAGCCAGGAAATCCCACCTGGCCCTCCCCTGCACTCCGCCCTGTCTGAGCCCCTCTTACCCCCATGTTGGGGGGCCCACCTGGAAACAGAGACAGGGGAACAGAGGCCAGGTGCTGTGCAGTGGCCTCAGGACCAGCAGCCTGAGTGTTGCAGATAAAACTCATTATTTTGTATAAAAATTAAGACTTTTGGCTTCCTTTGAAAAGTCAGAAATCGTGGCAGTGCTAAGGGGTGGGTGCTCCTCGACACAGTCCTCGCCCTGCCAGCGACACTTGTCTACCCACACGCCTGGACCCTGTGTTCCTAGGAAGACCCCCATGAACACCCCTCACCCCAGCTCTAGCCTGGGAGCCACAAACCCTGAGTCCTAAGCTCGGTCCTCACATCTTTGCAGACTTGGGTAGCCACTCTGAGCCTCAGTTTCCTTGTCTTTAAAATAAAGAAACACCTACTTCTGAGGATTAAATGAAACAGCTGCAGCTGCCAGGGTCATGGGCAGTCATGCCCACCTGGGCAGTTTTGTCCTGCACAACCTGTCTCGCTCCCGTTCACAACTACTCAGTGAGCAGGTGGTGTTCTCACTGCTACCATCCCATTTCCTGGTAAGAAATGGAGGCTGGACAGGGGGAGGTGGCTCGTCTGTGGGCAAGCCTGCACCCTAAGTGGCTCTTTGGACTCTGGTCCCCACACCAGCCTCGCTCGACCCCACCCTTGCTTCTCTCTTCAGTGACCAAGATCTGCGCCCAGTGTGAGATGGAGCACAACGCGGACGGCCTCATGGAGCAGATGTGCTCCAGTGACTTCGGTGAGTGTGGAGCCCATGCAGCCACCCCAGCCCCTCCTCCTTGACACGCACACATATGAACACGTGTCCACGCCCATCACTGTGAACCCTAAGTTTTTTGCCTTATGGACGCCGTTTAGACTGATTATAACCATGAACCCTCTCCCCAGGGAAATGCCCCTTTTTTAGTATCATCTCAGGGGCTTCCGGCCATGGTCCTCAGGTCCCAGAAGCCATCCCTGGCCAGGGCTCCTGCAGCCCTCGCTTGGCACCATCCACAGGGGGGCCTCCAGGGCTGGGCTCTCTGTGTGGGGAGCAGGCTTAGCCCTGAGATGGATGGGGGCAGCAGGTGGGAGGAATGGGCTCCGGAACAGAAGTGCAGCCCCCTTGTCCCTGGGGTCCTCTTCTGAGGACCCGATGTACTCTGGCCAGGGGCGCTGTGGTCACCTGCCCCACAGCTTCATCCTGGAGCCTCCCCACTACTGGGCAGCTGAGTCAAGTCCAGTCAGGCCCTGGCTCCTGCATGGACCACACAGTCCGGCTTGTGATCTTTGCCAAGTCAGCTCCTGTTTTGTGTCTTGGCCTCCCTGTCCATGAGAGAGATGGAGAGAGAGAAGAGAGAGAGAGAGAGAGAGAAATGAAATCCTTATGTCAGCAGGTCTCTCATGTTGCTAGTCTGTTTGGAAAGAGAATATCACTATTCTATCACAGGGGTGTGTGTGTGTTCAAGAGAGAAAATGAGGAGGTGGGGGAGAGGGAGGAAGAGAAGCAAGGAGATTTTGTAACGACTTCCTTCCCTGGGTGGAAAAGTAGTTCTCTGGCTTCTCCCTGGATGCTCAGAGATGGGGCCCAGAGGCCTGAAGAAGGGAGGGGAGACTAGCCCAAGTGACCCCGCCCCAAGCTCAGGACTCCCTATTCCCAACTGCTAGGCTCTCTGTAGTCACCTTGGAGTGCCCTGGACACTCTCTGACCACTCTCTTCTTCTACCACATCCCTCCAGTGCCCCCCACCCACTCTCATGTTCCCACACACCACACCCGACTCCAATATACACAAAGCACACACACCACACACACACACTCCCACCCACACTACAGTCTCACGCAGGTTACAGTGGTGTGTTCACACCAGCGAGAGCTGGTTGTGTGCCACGCTTCCCAGCCTTGTACTCAGTGATGCGGTGCATCATAGAGGGGTATTTACCCCATGGAAACCGGCGAAGGATACCGGGCAGGCCCCTCCCCAGAGCCAGCTGTGAAACACTTAGCAGCCCACATTCATGCTATGTGGACTCACACACACACACACTGACTCATACCCACCACATACACTCCACACCACACACACACACCCACCCACACACACAGAACCAGAAATCCCATTCAGAAACATCCCCAGAGAACATGAAGTCCAGCCTCCCTCCATCTCAAGGACCCCTCCCCAACAAACCCTCCAATTGGTTACCACACCTCCAATATTTCCCTCCCTGGACAGCCCAACCCCATGCCCCAGTGAGAGCTCACTGTGCACTTTGTATTGGAAAAGGTGTGGGTTCTGGGTCAACCAGACCTCCCTCGATCCAGGCTCTAGAATCAGGGCAGCTTACAACCTCTGCAAATCTTATTTCTCCCCACTACCCACACCTCCAGGATTCAATGTGATAATGTCCGTGAAAGTCCAACACATGATAGGAGCTTCATAAACATGAAAATGTGTGTGTATTGCTCCACCCTGAAGCCTCAGGCAGGAGCACCAGCAGTGGGGCCACCAGCATCCTGAGCAAACCTGACCATTCTCATGCTGTCCTCTGTCCACCCCCATACACAGTGGTCAAAATGCGCATCAAGGAGATCAAGATAGAGAATGGGGACCGGAAGCTGATCGGAGCCCAGAAAAAGAAGAAGCTGCTCAAGCCGGGCCCCCTGAAGCGCAAGGACACCAAGCGGCTGGTCCTGCACATGAAGAATGGTGCGAGCTGCCCCTGCCCACAGCTGGACAGCCTGGCCGGCAGCTTCCTGGTCATGGGCCGCAAGGTGGACGGACAGCTGCTGCTCATGGCCGTCTACCGCTGGGACAAGAAGAATAAGGAGATGAAGTTCGCTGTCAAATTCATGTTCTCCTACCCCTGCTCCCTCTACTACCCCTTCTTCTACGGGGCTGCTGAGCCCCACTGAAGGGGCCCTCGCAGCTGTGCCTTGCCCCGTCCCTGCCCTGGGGCACACTGTCACCTCCTGCCCCGAGTGCCAGCACAGGCCCTGAGGGATGGGCATGGAGCCCAAGCTGTCCTTGACTGAGGGCTTTTGGGGTATCTGGGAGCTTCCTCTCTTAAACATAGGGCTTTTTCTTTTGAGGGGAAACCCCCGGTCTCAAAAAGTAGGCAGGGAGGAGAGACGGAGGGACGGGTAGAGGGGCTATGCGCAGCCGAGCTGGTTTCTGGAGGGGACCATGGTGCAGCTCCCCTCTGTTGGCGGGGGGGCTCACTAGGCACTAGGGTCACAGTGCCCTCCAGCCACACTCCCTACTGTCCCCATCTCTGCCAGGTCCCTTCCCCCTAGACTGGAGAGAAGCCCAGCCTAGATCTCCTCCCATAAGCTCGCTTCTTGGGGTTCATTCCTCAGCCCCTGCATGTCCCCTTTATCTTGACGAGTAACTTATTGCTACTGCTGTGAGGCCACAGGTAGACTGATGGAGGTAGGGTTTGGTGTTTAATGGTTTGTTTTTTTAAGTTTTTATTAAATCAAAGAAAACAACAGTTGGTTTTGACCAGGTGGTTTCTCTGTCAGGCGGTTCCCCAGAGCTAGGGAGAGGGAGGTTCAGAAGGGACTTTTAGAAAGAGGCCCTTGTCATAGCCCACGGCCTGTCCACACAGACATACACAGAATGCCTAAGAGCAATGTCCATGCTTGTGCAGGATCCCCCAAGAGCACACACAAGGGTCACCCCAATCATCCCCACCAATGAGGGACGGAGTTGGCCATCTTTTGTCTCTGAGGTCAGCTAAGTTCCCCAGCCTCCTCCCACGGTCAGAAGGCTCCCACAGTCCTGAACAGTCTCCCTCCCTCAGGCAATGCATGCTCCAAGGAGCCAAGAGGCTGGGCCACGGAGCTACTTGGAGGAGCCAGAGGCCTGCACGTGCTGCTCCTACACTCTCTGCACACAGACACCACTGCACACTGGTCCCGACGTGGAGATGAGGGTGCAGAATGGTGGTTTCTCAGTGTGGTCCCTGGACCAGAGCATCAGCATGAAGTAGACGCTCAGGCCCCACTTCCCACGAAACACTAGACCTCGCTCTAAAGCAATTATTTCCGAATCTCTGGAGGCTGTTCAGAAATCAGCATTCCTCCATGCTCGCTGGGGTGGTGTGCAGCCCAGGTGAGACCCTCCATCTGGGTATCCAGATAAGCCCACAGCTGAGGCAGGAGGAGGGCAGTGGACCTGCATGCACGGAGGGGACCAGCTAGGATGCCCGAGGGGCTTCTTTAGTGAGCCCAGTGCAGATGGAGGCTGCTCCCTGAGGGGCAGGGAGGGGAAAAACCTTGAAGTGGAGCCGAAACCGGTTTGGCTCAGTGGATAGAGCGTCGGCCTGCGGACTGAAGGGTCTCAGGTTCGATTCCAGTTAAGGGCATGTACCTGGGTTGCGGGCACATCCCCAGTGGGAGATGTGCAGGAGGCAGCTGGTCGATGTTTCTCTCTCATCGAAGTTTCTAACTCTCTCTCTCCCTTCCTCTCTGTAAAAAATCAATAAAATATTTAAAAAAAAAACACCTTGAAGTGGAGGCAACAGGCTATTGCCAGTCAAATGTCCAGCATTTGGAAGAGGTGGTGCCCACCTCTGCTAGGAGCATCCACCAGCAGAGACTGAGGGGCAGGGCAGATGTGCCCAGAGCAGGGAGCGGGGGACACCCCCAGAGGGGCTCCCCTCACCAGTGAAGGTACAGCTGGA